GGCTGACTGGCAGGCTGGCTGACCAAGGGCTCCTTCCCGCCAAACCTGGGTGATCGATGAACAGTCTGTCAGCTCCACCAGGCCCAGGCCCAGCCATCCACCTCCCAGGGCAGCAGGGAGAAAGACAGAGGGACAGAAGGAGGACTGGCCTCACTGTGCTAGCCTCCACTGCCTCTCCCACCTCTGAGGGTCTTTGCACCAGGAATAGCAAGCACTTCACTCACTCCCTGAATCTGAGGAGGCGGTTGTGGGACAGCCAAGTGGGGCAGAAATTGTGGGGAAACCCCCACATCAAAAAGTTAAATAAAAACACATGAGGTTGTTTTCTGCAACGTTTCCACTGTTGTGGTAAGAATGAAACACACATGCACGTACAAGCTATAAAACATAAACTGTCACTTGGGTGATTTTGCATGTGAGTTAAATGCACGGATATTTATTTGCACTTAAAAGGCATCAAACAATATCAAGGTGAATGGTAAAACTCATGCTAATAATTTAAATTTCAATCTTTTCTTTATGGAGAATGACATTCAATAGCCAATAGCCTATCACTGGGCAGTGGGCAGCTGTGGGGGTCGGAGCTGGCCAGTGAGGGTTGGGTCTGTGCCCGAGGACCATGCCTCAGGCAGGTCTGTGTGAGGGTCTCTGGAGGCAGGACGGGGCAGGATGCAGAGGGCTGTCTATTGGCTGGGATGTGCTTGTAGGTGTGGGTGTTAGTGCCAACCAGTCAAAACTACAGACTTTGCACATGTCTTGCTCTGAACCAAAACCAGCACTTACCTTCCAGTCCCGTCTTCCAGTTTTCCAGGACTGGTCTGTCTGGGGTATGTCGCAGATCAGCTCTTTTCCAGGTGTCCACTGATTAACAGAACAGGGCTGGCTTTCTGGTCAGGACCATGGAGTTCTGGACAAAAACACAGCCCGTTCCTGGAAGCCTGTGGAAAACGGCCTTCCTGGGGTGAGGGTTTGAAGACCTCGGCCTCACACACAGGCATTTGGAGAGAATGTTCCGGAGCACTGGGGTGGAGGGGCAGACATTCGTAAATAAACATGCATACATACACATCTATAGCCTCCTTTTGTGTTTTGCATGGTCTTTTCTTCACAACAAGGTTAGAGTTGGGGGCTGTGCCTTCCTTCCATCAGCAGGTGTTCACAGGGTGCCTTCTCTGGGCAGCACGATAAATAGCAGTGAGACCGGAGTCTCGGCCTCATGGAGTTCACATCCAGGGGGCACGGAGGAAAGCCTCAGGCTGCTGAGTGCAGACAGGGTGCAGCCCCCCACCAGGCGCCTCAGGAAAGGTTCCTGAACAGCCTCCTAAGAGGAGGGTAGGAGCCCCCCAAGTGAGGCACAGGAAGGGCGCTCCAGGCAGAGAAGATGGCACGGACAGCGATGCGGAGTCAAGTGTCATCCTGCCCATTCAGGAGCCTTCGGTGGTTTAGGTGGTTCCATGCGACAAAAGCTTAGGGGCTGGATGTGAGGCTGGAAAGACCAGCGGCCTGGAGGGCAGAAGGGCAGGTTCTTAGGGCACCGCACAAAGGGGCCCTGACCCAGTGGGGAGGTTGCCAGGGTTCTGCAGAAATTACTTAATTCCTCCTCCAGCTCTCTCGGAGTGCAGCTGGGCTGGCTGGAGCCAGAGTCCTGGCAGGGCTGAGTCCCCTGCGGGCCCCAGCCAAGCAGATGGAATGGTGAGGGGTATAAGTTAGTGGCTGCAGAGATTTTGCAGGACGGGCTTGGCCAAATTTTCTCATTGCAAAAAATGAAGTATAAAAGACATGCTAATCGAGATATAACTTAGTGTGGGTTGTTGCAGTTCATAAGGTGCTCCTTTTGAAATGGTTCCCAACCCAGGATCTGCTCCAAACAGGGAACTGGCCTCGTGGTGGGCTTCTCTGTGGCCTGGGTGTACCTGATTCATTCACTTCTCCCCAACAACGCACAGCCCAGCTATGTGGATATCTGGTAAAAGAGTGGATGAGTGAGTGGGTGAGCCAATGGATATACGGATGGGTAGGTGGGTGGGTGGATGGATGGACGGATGGATGGATGGTTAAATGGATAAGTGCATGGATTCATGGATGGATGGATGGATGGATGGATGGATGGTTAGGTACAAGTGTAGGTGAATGGAAGAGTGGATAATTGTTTTATAAGATTTAAAGATTCTTTTGATGGCAGGACACAACACAATGACATTTGATGGGAGAAAGACGGAGCTTTTTGTTACTTTAGTTCCAAATGAGAGAAGGCTTCCAGGCAGAGCCACGCAGGGGGTTGCACCCAGGGACAGGGTCACAGCAAGCAGGGTAGGGTTAGCCAGGATTCTCGGGCTCCCTGTGGGTTGGCTAATTTGAATAGTTTTGCAAGGTCCAAGGTATCATGGCTATGCACAGTTGTTTGGCACTTGGCCCCAGGTGGTTAGGACCAGCGAATAAAGGTCCAAAGTATGAGAGCCCAATGAGGGAAGTGGCTGGAGTGCAAACCTAGCTGCTCAGGAACTACTGACCTGCCTCCAACCAGGACTTCAAAACCAGATCAAGACACTTTTTAAAAACTATATTACAGTGGTGGGTGGAGAAGTGTGTAGATGAATGGTGCCTTCTGGAACTTTCTCAGTCAATCATATTCACGGAGGCATCAGCACTGGATTCAGGCCTTTGAGGATCTCTATCTCGTAGATACGGAACACTAGAATGTACAAGATGGAAGGGGCTTCATGAGGTCTGTCTGTTCTGACGGGTCTCAACATGCTTTGCATCATAGAAGACCCCTCCAATAATTTGATGAAGGCTCTAGGGCCTCTCTCCTGAGAAAAACACACATATCCCTAGTCCTGTATACCATTTTCGAGGGATGTGGGCTCTGGGCGGCCTGTCCATGGAGCCCTGTGCCCACCTGGGGAGTCAGGACCCTCAGGCTAAAGAGTCCCAATGTGGTAGAAAGGCCAGTGTGCGGAGCAGTCACCTGAGGCACCCCGGTCAGGAAAGGACTTTACTCAAGTGTATGTGACCAGTTCACCACAGCCACTCCAGGCCTAGATCCCAGGCCTCCCCATACACCTTCCTGGGACTCAGTTTCCCCATCCATCTGTATCATCTGTATGTTGATGGAGTTGAAATTGATCACTGGTTTATACTTGGCTCAGAGACGTTACAGGAAAAGGGAAGACAGCAGCGGGGTTCTGACCCTCCTGTCTATCCCCCAGCTCCACTGGGCCCACTTTATCTACTCTCTTTTGAAGGGAAGGTTTTAAGAGTTTCTTTTTTTAAAAAAAGTGTTTGAAAGCCCCTGCACTTTCTAGCTTCTAAGCTTCTGGGAGTGTTAAGTGCTGTGAATTGTGAGTAAGTCTCCAGAGAGAAGCCATGAAAGCCAATCAATATAGAAGTGACAGGAAATCATAGCTAAACATCCCCACAGAAACGGCTGTGTCTCAGGGGAGCACAGACCCTTACGCATCACCAGAAAACAGGACAGGGAAAGGCGTTCAATCTCTGAAAGAGTTTCTGCTGCCACTGTCCCTTGGGAGGCATACATGGCATTAAAAAAAAAAATCAGTACTCCCACTGACCACTTCGCCCCCCTCTGTTTACACCTTCTGTGTAAATGCCCACTGTTTACACCTAAGCTCAGACAACCACATAGGGAAAACAAATAATGGTAAGCAATAAATGTTATATGAAACAAATATATTCACTTACAGAGTGTACCAGCTATCTACCTCAATACCAGAAAGAACAAAACTAATATTTAGGGGTGATCTGCCATGCATCCAATATCCACATCTATTATTTCACTGAATTGAAAAGGAGGCGAGCAGGGTGGTTAAGAACACAGGCTTTGGAGCCAGGCAGCCTGGGTTCCATGAGTGTTAGCTGAGTTGAAGCATTTGTGTGCTTAGAAAGGTGCCTGACACAGAGTAGAAGTTATATACATGTCAGGACTGGGCCAAACAAACTCAAAAACGGTTTGGAGGCTTTGACTCCAAATAAATGATAAAGAAATAAATGATAAAGATTTATTCAAGGGTCTTAGGGTTTGCAAACCACAAACACAACGAGGCGATACCCAGAGTGTTCTGACGGAGAAAGAAAAGCTAAGTTTTTATAGTAAAAAGTATGCTCTTGGGGAGAATCAGTCCTACATTCTTAACCTCTAGGTTGGTCCCAGATGGCCATCCTCCAGATGACCAGTAGTCTGAGTACTGGATGCCAGGTGGTCTGGGTACTGGATGCCAGTCGGTCTGGGTACTGGATGTCAGGCGGTCTGGGTACTGGATGCCAGGCGGTCTGGGTACTGGATGCCAGGCGGTCTGGGTACTGGATGCCAGGAGGTCTGGGTACTGGATGCCAGGTGGTCTCGAGAACCAAACATTCTTTCCTTACCTCTTCAGGGGGTAATCGAAGGGTTATCTGGAGGCCTGATGTATGCCTGGGCATTGAAGCAGGACTGGAAAGTTTAGATGTTTAAGTTCCCAGGCTCGTTAGAACAAGAATAGAATTGGTTCCTCATGCCTCAACCTACCTGATTTTGGTAATTTAGCAGCTCGACTAGAGTGTCTCACTTTCACTTCTTTGCTCTATTCCTCAACTGTTGTTAATCCTCAACACATCGCCTCTAGGTCCGTCACAACCAGCACAGAGAGGTTAAGTCAGTTGCCTGACGGACAGCACTGGGATTGCAATCCAGGACGTGTTTGCTATTCCAAGGCTCTAAAGGGCCACAGTGGTCTACACAATAGAACATTCCTTGGGCTAACCTGGAAATCGTCCTTGTAACTCACCAAGCTCTCTAGGCTCAGAGGGCAGACAGAGAGACCTGAGCATCTGCAGTCATCCCACCTGACTTCTGTGGTCTTAGGTTTTAGAAACTGAAGCCAGTGTGGCTCAGAGCGCTGGGCGGGAGCTCAGGATGAGGCTGGAGGTGGAGGGAGGAAGTACCCAAGAGGGTGATGACATCACAGCCCAGCCCTTGAAAGATGAGCTGTTCCTGCCACCACTGGGGCTCCGGAGCGCTCAGCCAGCCCGCCAGCGGCTCCTCAGAGGGGAGGGAACATCAAGCAGCCCTGCTGGACGCTGGACGCTGGACGCTGGAGGAGGGAGCAACCGAGGTGCCTGCGCAGCTAGCTCTGGACAAGGTGGGTGCCGCGGCAGCAGGGGCTGGTCCAGCCGCCTCACCTATGCTGGGAGGACAGATGGTCCCAGTACAGCGGGAGGGTGGACAGGTGGGTTTTATAGGAGCTGGTTTCCAGGCTGGGAGAAGTTTCCCTCAGGTCCTGGAGGGTTTGGGGAAAGTTATCTTCCTTCCCGAGTCCTGACAAGCGATAAGAAGGGCTCCCAGCAGGAGGAACTGTCGTGTGTGTTTTGGGTTTGTCTTCTTGAATCAGGGCGACAGACAGGCACGTGGGTGTTTGTGTGGGCCATTTAGTAACTTCATTTTTATAGACTCTGGGGGGACACCTTGGACTAAAGCAGCAGAGGAGCCAGTGTGGAGGAGCGGGAATGGACGCGGGGCTTAGACTGCAGAACCTGGCTTTTTACTCACCTATGCTGCTGCTCTTTGGCCCTGTGTGACTTTGGACACTTACTTAACCTCTCTGAGCCTCAGTTGACCTGTCTGCAAAGTACTCTGCTGACCTGCTGCCCGGGTGGGCAGGGGTTAAGTCAGACCACAGATGGAAGGGGGTTGTAAATCTTGGCAGATGTACATTATGGTGGGGGTGAGTTTAACCCCTGTCCCGGTCCAAGACAACGGGATAAAAAGGTGCAGTGGTTCAGAGCAGGGGCTTTGCATCCAGCCCTGGGTTGGAATCCCAGCTCTGCTTCCATCCACTGGGTGACATTTTTAACCAAAAATGTTCCCCATTGCTTGAGCCGTAGAGATGGCCTGGCAGGGGTTTGCAAAGATGGACATGGACTCATACCTGTGAGGTGCCACACATGCAGTTGGTGCTCAATAAAGAGTAGCCATTATTAGAGCTGCTGAGGGTGAGTCGTTTCATGAACCTGGGTGGGGGTGAGCAATGGGCGTGGCTCCCTGGCAGGTTAGAATGTGCCTCGTTGAGTCACAGGCTGCCTGCGGCTCCTGTCAGCCCACAGGAAGTGGGAGCTCTGACACAGGTGTAGGGCAATGGAGGACCCTGGGCTCCTCCCACCTCTTAGTCCTTCTCTGAGCGACCCCCGAGGACACGGCCCGCCCCCTCCCATCCTCGGAGGAAAACCATCTGTGTCCCTCTGGACCTTGGCAGCAGTGGGGGTGATGGGGACACACTGAAATCGCGAGCCCCACAAGCTTGAAGAAAGCGTTTGCTGCTTTCCTCCAGCTTGGGGTGGGAGTCAGGTGGGGGGTGGGGAAGAGCCAGGAGAAGGGGTTTTGGAAAACACCGGAAACAAAGCTCCCATACTGGCCTCACAGAAAGAACCTCAGGCTCTCATCCCGGCTCTGCCCTGAACTCACACACCCCTGCAGTCACGTGCTTCCCGGGCCCTCCTGGAAGGGATGAGGAAACTGAGTCTCAAAGCAGGGATGTCACCTAGCGAAGCCCTGTGCTCAGTGTCGGGGAGATGCCTCAACCTCTGTGGGACTCAGGCGAAGGTTTAGATGACTGACTGAGCCTGGATGGTGAGGCTAAGGATTAGACCAAACTCAGGAGATGCTGCCTGGTGGCACCAACCAGGGGAAATAGCTGTGCCGTGTGGCCTCTGCTAACAGTGACTATCTGGATTAAGAGTTCAGAGGGGTCTGAGGGTAACCCCAAGGGCTGCCCCTCTCGGCAGTGCAGCCTTGTAGTCAGGGAGGGGTCCACCTGGGCAGGGGAGAGTGCCCTGCAGACGCAGGGAACCCTGAAAGCAGGGGTTTTGTCTGTCCATTCATAGCTGCCTCCCCTGCACTGAGAACAGTGCCTAGCGTAACGTGGACTCTGGTCAGTATTTGCTGAGTGACTGGATGGATGGATGGATGGATGGACGGACGGATGGTTGGCTAAATAAACATCGGTCACAGAGCAGGCACTAAAACCATGCAGAGCATATTACTAAGTGAAAGAAGCCAGACTGGTATCGGTCTTTCTCTCTCTGACTTATTTCACTCAGCATAATACCCTCTAGATCCATCCATGTTGTTGCCAATGGAAGACTTCATTCATTTTTGTGGCTGAGTAATATTCCATGATATGTATGTATGTATGTGTATAGATATATCTATATATATATGTGTGTGTGTGCGCACACACACACACACACACACACACACATCTTCTTTATCCAAGAACAAAATAAATGAACAAAGCAGAAGCAGACTCATAGACACAGAGAACAAAAGTTACCAGAGGGGAGGGAGTTTGGGGGCTGGGTGAAAAAGGGGAAGGGGAAGACATACAAATTGGTAGTTACAAGATAGCCATGGGATATGGAATACAGCATAAGGAATATAGTAAATAATATTGTAATATCTATGTATTGTGCCAGGTGGGTATTAGACTAGTCATGGGGATCGCTGCATAAATTATATAAATGCCTAGCCACTATGCTGTACACCTGAAACTAATATTGAATGTCAACTGTAACTGAAAAATTAATAATTAAAAATAATAACAATAAAGGTGCTATTTACCTAGTAACACAATGAGATAAAATTGTCTGAATGTGTTGGTTGTGTATGGAATACTACATGCACCAAAGAGAAAATAAACTATTTTTTCCTTATCAGAAAGAGAGAGAGAGAAAGAGAGAGAGAGAGAGAGAGAGAGAGAGAGAGAGAGAGAGAGAGAGACCAGACTGAAAAGCCAACATACTGTAGGATTCCAATTATACAGCATTCTGGAAAAGGCAAAACTATGGAGACGGTAAAAAGATCAGTAGTTGCCAGAGCTGGGGAGAGAGGGATGAATAAGCGGAGCACAGAGGGTGTTTAGGGCAGTGAAATACCCCGTGTGATACCATAATGGTGGACCCATCTCGTTATACATTTGTCCAATAGAACACGAACACCAAGAGTGAACCCCAATGTAAACTATGGACTTTGGGTGATAATAATGTGTCAATGTCGGTTCATCAATTGTAATAAATGCCCTACTACGGAGGGGGATGTGGATAGTGGGGGAGGCTGTGCATGTGTGTGTGTCGGGGGGGTTGGAGCTATACGGGAAATCTCTGAACTTTTCACTCAGTTCTTCTGTGACTCGAAAGCTGCTCTAAAAACTAAAGTCTATTTTTTAAAAAAGAAAAGAAAGAAGCACACAGAGCAGTCCTGTGTGTTGCTTGGAGGACTCGGAAGGCTTTTGGAGAATCTCAGAGCCACGAGTCAAATGGTCAGAACTTACTAACACGGATACCCAGCGTGCATCCCTCCCAGTGCCCACCTGGCCCAGGAACCCCCCGACCCCTGAGTCTGCATCTTAGTGTGCATGCCTCCAGATCCCAGAGGCAAAAAGCTCACTAATGGACAAGGCACATGCTCCATCCAAGGGGAGCTGTACTGTTAAAAAGTCCTCCCTCAGACAGACGCTGAACCCCTCTGCCGCTGAGCCGTGGTCCGCTTGCTGTTTCTTGGAGGTGGATTGATCATTCCAATCTTCACTGGTCCCCTCTGAGCTGAATGTCCACACGCCTTAGTCAAGACACGCTTTCCAGAACAAACCCAAGGGGTCAGGTATTTCTTTGGCTCTGTCATCCAAGTGGGATCTGCAGGGTTCTGGAGGCTAGAAAAATGTGAAACCCCCCCCCAAAAAAAAACATCATCACAGTGCAAAGCAGGCTGGAACAAACACAGGCTCTCAAATTCTGACTGTTTATCGGCTAGAGAAGCTCTCTGAGCCTCAGCTTTCTCACCTGTCCAATGGGGCTAATCCTTCCTGGTTCTGGAGACCGCAGTGAGGGCTAACTCAGATGGTGCTGGCGATGTGCAAGCAGGTGCCAAGCTCCCCGCAGGTGCCCACCTAGCAGAGGGACGGCCTACGGGGCCAGGAACAAGGGCCTGTCACTATCAGAGGCGCTGTCTTTGCCCTGCAGTGGGGTCACTGTGGCTTTGGGGATCCCCAGGAAAAGGGCACCCCCAGCATGTGCACGCTCATGTCCCTAGGCCATGCATCTGTGGGTGGTGCCAGCTAAAGCCCTGACACACTTCCCTGCAGGCTCCAACTTTCCACCCCCAACCCCAATGCCTTGGGCCCCTCTGATCGCTGTGGCCAGTGGAGCGCCGTGAGGTGGAGCGCAGAGCACTGGCTTCTGGACCCCAATCCAAATCCACTAGCTAGCTGCGTGACCTCAGGCAAGTCACTTTGCTCCTCTGAGCCTCACGGGTCCACGTCTGAAAATCAGCAGGGCCTGTGCCGGGTATCTCGTGGGGGGTTGTAAACAATAGTGCCGGGTGCTGGCCCCGCCCCGCCTCGTCTGTGTTTGTTATGGTGCTGATTGTACCCATGACACCACATCCTCTCCCCTTTCCTGCGGGTCCCCAAGCGACCGGACTCCAGGGCAGTGCGGCCGCACGCGGAGAGACTAATGATTTCTAAACTTTGTTGTGCATCTAAGTCACCTGGAGATTGGTCCCCCACATAGACGCCAGGGCCCTTCCCTGGGACGGGGACTTGGAGGTCTGGGTACCCACAGACTTGCTAACATCTCCAGTGGTTTTTCAAGCAGGTGGGCCTCCATCCACACTTTGAGACAAACTGCCTTAGCAAAGGCCTTTCTGAGGGGAGCGAACTTGAGAGGAACTCAAGTCCTGTTCCTGCCCTGGACCCCAAAGCCACCCTCCCAGGCTCCTCTTAGTCCCCACAGCCGAGCGATTTGGGATGCCCAAACCCTGGCACTGGGGCTCCATCACTGCCTCCGCTCCACCTCATCTCAGGATGATGGACACCCTCTCCCTGAGAACTCAGGGCCTCAGACATCTCCCAGCTCAGCTCCCTGGAGGTAGATCTGGGCCTCACGCTCTGGGAAGTGTCAGGCTGTGTCCCGCCTTCCCACCCAACTGGAAGCCCCTTGAGGGAAAACACGGAACCCAGCCCAGCGCGTGGCACCTACTGTGCACCTAGAACGCGCCCACAGGGTGACATCCTGACCATGGAGGGGAAGCTCTCAGGGGTCCTTCCGGAGCCCCTGAGATAGCACCTTCCAGCCAAATCGGAGATTAATC